AATAAATACAGTCAGTAAATCATCATTACAAAACATCCGAAAAAAAATACAACGAAGCAGCCATGCAAACACAAGTACAATCAATCCTTACTTCTGTCTCAATGCTTCCACCTCGCATCTGGAAGGTATACTCTCCATCGCACCGCGCCTCTGTACGCACAACGCAGCAGCTTCAACAGCCGTCTTCAATATAGCTTCAACGTCTGCCCTACTGACAGTTCCGCATCTTTCCATCAACCCGCTTACAAAAAAACCAGTGAAACAATCCCCTGCTCCAGTCGTATCAACTACTCTGCCGCCTTCCTGTAACTTGGCAGAAGGGACATAAATTTCATCGAACGGTTCCGCAGTACCTTCTAATAGGACCAATACTCCCCGACTCCCTAACGTGCATACAAGATTGACGGAGATCGAGACGTTCGGATGAGCGCGTAGCGCAGCTAGTACTTTCCTAGTAGTTCCAATCGGATCCTGGTTCGAAGGGTCGACCTCAGGAGTGCTAGGTTTCACGCCATCTATCCTCGTTCTTAGAGCGGTCAGTAAACCGATGGCTTCTCCTTGGTTCAAAATCAGCCAATGGACGTATTTCCAGGGGAAGGAACGTATTTGAGCGAGAGACGGTAGAGGCGAGGGGTTGAATACGGTTTTGATACCAGAGAAATAGGCATTCTGTAAACTGGAGAGAGTGGATTGGAAGGGTATTTCGTTTTGAAGCAGTACAAATGTATGGGGAATCGTTCGCTGTGCGAGGGTATCTGGTATCTGGGAGTAGTTTGCGCCACGGAGGAGAACTGGAGGATCATGGTGTCAAAGTTCTGCCCAAGGAGAATGTGAAAACAAACGACTTACTGATACTGTTCTCTCCCGAAGATGCAAGTTGGATGATAGCTCTTCCTGTTGGTTCCTGCATCCGAGAACTAAGTATGACTTTCAAGACCGTATCATATGAGATGACATACCTTCTCTTTCACATAAACATGTGTAACATCGACGCCGAAATCTTTCAATCCTTGAACAATCCATTCTCCGTCTTTGCCAACGGCACCGACCATGGCCACGTTTGCTCCAGCTTTGAACAGAGCTACGGCCTGATTTGCACCTTTCCCCCCCGCTCTCTTGTCATAACCAGATGAAGATATCGTCTCTCCTGGTTTTACGATATCATTGACTGACAAATAGATTAATCGCCAATCGAGTAGGAGAGATATCATACACCATTACCATGAAAGAATTCGTCGATATCTGCCTAGTAGAAACTATTATCAGCGAGAGTTAAGCAGAGACGAGGTGCAAATTGAATCTCACTGACTAATAGAACCCCGCACTATGCAGCATTGACTTGGACAATAAAGATGAAACTCTTCCGCCAACTTTGCGTGCTCATCCATGCTTTCATACAAACTATATAAATGGCTGTTTCTTGGGATGAGACTCGAGATAGAGGCGACTGTAGCAAACCGACGTGATTGTAAGAGACAAACTTATTTAAATATTGCTGTTTTCAAGCGCCAAGGCGGTTTCGCGTGCCGCCTGGAGCCTTGATTTCTGACCTTCATGTCGGCGGGCGATATCTCCTCCAATTCCTCTCGAATCGACGTAACTTTTATAACGTTCGAAAGTACTCGTTAAGGCACAGGGCACAACTCAAGAATCATCGGATTTGGACAATATCTCAATATCTTGAAATTCAGACCCCCCTCTGAAGCATCGGCGGAGGATTGCACTCGAACAACTCGGGATATCTTCAAATGAAGTTCGCGTAGGGAATATATTAGGTGCTAACGAGGGCACCAAACACGTTTTGGATGGCGGGATTTGCTCTTCACTTGGTGGTACAAGGTAAGCATGAACACTTGCTGAGTGCCAACTGAACGAGCTGACCACGCCTCGCGGGATTTACTCGTTCTCGCGCACTCAACGTGTATTCACTGTGGAATATCTACCGGCCACTGGCACAGATATTGATTTCTGATTGTCTGCGGTAACTCACCCAAGAGCATACGGCTTGTATTCTATTGAGCTCACCAATCGATTATATTATCATTCTGCATCTTAAACCACCGACCGTCCTGGAAAAGTCAACACATCAACATGTGCAAGAAGAACTTGTCCTTTCCATTGAAGTTGGCTCACACTAGTAAGCAGAGTGCGATTCACTCATTGCAATTTTAAATCCGACATTCAGCATATAATATTCGAGATTCGGTAGCAACCAACCCTGAAGTTAAAGATGACTTATGGATAAAAAGTGCATAAGGGTAACCCTGATCATTTCATACGCACTGGAAAAGAGATTTATGATAATCTCCCTTAGACTACAGTTATACTTCTTAGATCTTAAAAGTTTTCACGATTTCGCACTGCAATGTTACGACTCGAATGAGGATAGATTCGAGAGGTACATTCATATCATAACGAGAGAAAAAACAGTAATAAATGAGACATGCGGTTTTGCAAAAAGTGCATAGCAGAGGTTATGGTCAGAATGCGGTCATCATGGATATGAATATAACATGCGTGGTGTACATGTGGGTGTTTTGAAGTCCTCGTCCCCACCGAGTGGTGTAAATGAACCCAGAGAAAATGCCTAGAACTACAGGAGTAAACCAAAATGTCAGAACATGGTAGACGGTATAAAGAATCTGATGAAATACGCACTCGCAGGGGTTGGAAGAACCACTTGCTCTTTCCGCTGGTGTATCTCTCCTCCAACAACTTCTTAATCTGCTTCTTTGAGTCCTCGCGCTGCGTAGGCTCCTTGAAAGTCTCCGCGCTAACAACACCCTTCAATCCTTCCAACTCAAAAGCGTAGCGTGTAGGGAACAAATGGGAGTAGTTGATAACCTGTAGACATGCAAACGCGACCGTATGCCACAACATGAATTTCAGTAGGCGCGATGATTTCAGAAGCATGCTTACCTTGATAAAAGGCTTGACCTTACTCCTCTTCGCAAGCTTCTTGGCACCCATACGTTTGGTTACCTTCAATGGGTAGCGTTCAACACCGGCAACAATAGCATGGGGGTAAGGTCGTTCCTTGGTTCCCTCGTCCAATTGCTTAATGACAACGACCTTCTTTCCGGCTTGACGTCCTGAAAGGACAATGGCAACCTATAATCATCACCACCACAAAACCTGATTAACACAACTCATACTAAGTGTGAAACCGATCACGAATTTTGAACATACTTTGCCTGGCTTGTAGACTATATCATCAGAGTATCAGCATCTCATTGTCTTCGAATATTTCTGGGCGCAATGTACGCACCTCGGACCATTCTTGATGTTGAGGACGGGGACGGCGGGTAATTTCTTGAGCTCGATGTGCGAATAGATTCTACCAGCGCTTGTTGCGAGTGTCCTCAGCCACTCGGGGTTTACCGATGGTACTAGCTAGTTTACCTCTTTGGGACATGAATGGTTCACGTGCTACTGAACGCCGGCGATTCCTCTGCAAGTTCAAGGGTTATACTATGGATACGCTAGCTCATCCTGATAACTCTATCTACCTACTGTGAGACGCTACATGATGTTCCCACTTCTTCACCAAGTTTCCCATTCATCTTCACTTGCAATCTGAACAAGACTCGTCTCGATGTCGTCTATCATTATGCCACTGGAAATCTGAGACGTTATCATTGATCATTTACATGTGAACAAAGAATCTCTCTGCTCATGCGCTCTAGTGCACAGCTCATGGCTTGACTCAAGCAGGCATCACTTTTTCTACGATTTCAAGCTAAAGATTCAATCCGGCAACCTCTGCATTCATTCTGACGATTTGTCGAGGAAACCTCTTGGGTTGCGCTTCACATCTCACCACAATTGAAGGGTATCCTAGAGCAGCACTTTGTCCCAGCGATGAAGGAAACATCGCCTCCAAGGACATTGCTTTCTTGGATTGTCTTCCTCGCATGCACAACTTACGCTCAAGGGAGGTCTTTGTGACACGCCTTCCTCCCAGCGTGCAGGAATAGCCGGAGAACATAACTCGTCGGAAACAACATGCTCTACGAGCGCTGGTGTTACTGAGTGTCGTCGGTGCAGCGTGCGTATGGGAGGGTGTATTGGGCATCCTGTTGTTAATTCATACCATTGACAGGCTTGCTATGGGGTTTGGTTCTTGCCAACTTCTCCAGACCTGATCAAAACTGGATGAGAAAAACGTGCTGCTACTTGCAACATGTTTTCCTCGACCTGTCAATACCCGAAAGCTCTGCCTTCGATATGCACCTCTGCTAATCCCGAAATCGGTTGCTCCGGGGACATGCTTGACATCCAATACAGTTTCCCTTTTCTCGAGAATCCAATCATCCCCAACATCTCGTCGCTAGTTCTCGAATCTCGTTCATGACTCCAACACTTCGAATATACGATCCCACCAAATTTCGTGGCCGACCAATCGAACTGTAGATAACGTTCCGACATAATTTTCTTGCAGAGGATGCTCAGCCTATATTCTAGTCTCGCGGCTTCTGCAAAACGGTGTACACCTATCTTGTTGCTCGCATCTGACTTCGGTCCACCTATCGTTCTCTGTCTCACCCGGTCTTGAGACCGCTAATTTCCGTCTCACACCCTACCTTGGCGTCACTGGCACTGCATCCCGACAACCATGGAGAAGATCTCCGTCCAACACCTCGTCTTTGACTTCTTCGCGTCTTCTAAAGTCCAGAAGATTCTGTCGGATCATTTCAGCTTTGAACCTGTGAAAACAGCTTCCCTTCGACTACCAGCACTCCTCACTGTAACTTTCGACTTCATCACCCCATGGTTATGTGAATAGAATATTAGACGGGCATTGGAAAGTCTTCTCAAGGATAGGATGCCCACTGTTGCTTCAACAAATATTTTACGGTTCGAAGATGCCACATATGGTACAGTGGCTTTCCTTGCTTTGAACGTGCAGATGCTACTTCAAGTTTTCATACTCGTTCGGAATTATCAGAACATTAGGATCCCCTAGTGTGTGGAATTATGGAGGGGGAGAAATATTTCGTGGCCTGGTGGTCTAGTAGTATGATTCCTTCTTAGGGTTGTCATTTGGAGGAGGTCCCGGGTTCAATTCCCGGCCAGGCCCTCATTGCTTCGTTTGATAGCTTTTTGGTATCAACAGTATTCTTCGAAATTACGCAGGGCCCTGAGATTACAATACATGATATATACCAGATGTTATCAGAATGAAAACGTATCGGAAATAATGAAGAATTGTTCTAGCTGTCAAGCTTTTAAGGACAAGTAATAACCAATGAAACATTAGACTACTCACTATTTTCGAACGATCAGATGCGAATCTCTCGCGAACAAATATCAAAATTGCGCATGCTCATCAATTGTACGGTCTTGCGAATGCCTATCGAATGTCGGGAGGATGAACAGACTCCACAAAAGAAAGACGGGATCGGCTCTGACTCTGTCATTCAGAACTCAGAAATCATGTTGGAAACTGTTTCGAGGGTTACTATTTAGCTCTCTGAAAAATCAAAGTTAAAATTGGGCATACCAATCCAAGGAGGAGATACTCCAAATCTTTTCTCCTCCCCGCACAAACCAATTCGGAAAGAGCTTTTTGACATATTCTTCTATAACTGCGTCGGTACGTTCAGCCACCGTAGAAGAACAACATGGGTTATCACGACTGAGTTCGGGTTTGACGGTGAGTTTTTGGAGTGGAGGTAAACAAGATAAGAAGAAATGAACATCATTCCAAAATTGTTGTTGTGCTTCAATATCGGTCGGGAAATTCCAGTCATTGGTACTGTTCAGATGAGCTTCGAGTTTGATGGTTGTTACTAGCTTGGGAAGTTCTGAGATGAGATAAGTTTGAATTTTCTCGAGTAGCTTCTTGCTGGATTCGACATTGTCGGAATTGTCAGGGGGAATCTCTCGTTCCCATGATTTAGTCTTGATATCGATGGTAATCCACAGAGGTACAGATAGGTTTAGTTGGCGGAGAGCGACACAATGCGATAGATTGAATATTTCCAAACTTTCGTCATCGTTTTCTGATGAACAAATCTAATCATTAATATCAAGTTGGGGAATGAAAGCAGGAATGAACTCACCTAGTTTTTCAATTAATTCCAGAGATATTTCGAGACAGACTTTGAGCAATCTAGAGCCACATGTTTTCAGGATCTCTCCAAGAGCATGGCATTCATCGACCGAGAAATGTTGCACGCTGATAGTGGTAAGGCATGGGATAGACGATTGATGAAGCATCTGGAAAAAAGGAAGTGAACTTGTACGGCGAGGATTGTCAGTTTTGAATAGGACATGCCGACGTCGAGGAGCATCACAAAGGAGCCCATTTGATGGTTGAGAATGATTGTGACAAGGCTTCTGCTTCTCCAAATCATTCCCGAGACACCCGTCTACCTGGAAAAACTCGATCTCGGAGAAAATATGAAGAGTTGTTAGGACTGTTGATACATTATTGAGTTTAGGGTACGACCAAGCTTGGAAATAAAGAAGCAACGATTGCAAGGGTAAACGGGTACGATCCAGGTCTATCGAGAGGGGGTTAGAGGCAGAACCCGAATCGCCACATGATAGCGTGGACGAATTCTGTCCTTCACTGACAACACTCGTCACTGGAGATTTGGGTGGACTTGCATAAAGAGCGTTGGTTGAGAAAGTCAGCTCTGCGAATCGAGGATCTATGAGTGAAATGAAAGTGATGTTGGGAAAGATCTTCATGACAATCGCGAAGAAAGCCCTCTATACAAATTGGAAATTCTGGAAAAGGATAGTCTTGACGTATCTAGTCGCGATCTCCGAATTCTTGCTAAACACGATGCTCGAGTCCCGAAGTTCATGAACTTCTCTTCGGTACACAGCCAAGCATTGAGGTGGGTGTAAAAATTACACATGGCTTGGGAGCGCCATAACTTTGATACCAAAGTGCAGGATTTCACGTCTTGTTTGTCAAGAAAAGACATTGCGATATTGATAATTTCGGGGGAAAGGATTGGGACCCTGGACATATACAGTACGATCTGCGAGTTTAAAACAAACATTAGCCTGCTGTTAAAAAAAGAGTAGAGAGCTCGTATTCGCATCTTACCATCGACAATCTGACGGGTGAAACCATTGGATCGGTCCCAAGTCCCGTAGAATCAGCCACAGATTTCTGTAAAGATAAAGCCTTCAAGCCTTTACCACGGAGGCCGAGTCGATCTTTTGCGGCTACAGATATTGGGGAAGAAGGCATAACGTCGAGAGATGAAATTGAGAATGAATTGAAGAGAAGCAGGTCGGTCGAGAATATAGTCGCCCCAGTATGGTGATAACGCTGGAGTGCTCTCTGTCTTTTATACTTGTTTTCTTCGGTGAAGTAACACAACGACCCATCGTAGCCTAAGTTCCGTATCAAGGTTCCATGGATGCTAAGGTGATCTCCGTGTTCGTGTAGTATGGACCTGCATTGACAGAATGAACATCGTGACAACAAGGCAGTCTGCTTGAACAAGGGCGCATCCGGCAATCTTCACATTGCGATACTGACCATGTCAACGTGAACATCACAATTCAACATGGTTTCCAAGGTTTCTCAGGTGTGAGTACTCGTACAAATCGACAACAAGAAAGCACAAACTTGGTTCTACAAGGTGACGGTTAGGCGGTGAACGCTGGTGAACGTTGAACGTCACGGGTCACGGTTGTAACAGATTCGGAGGTAACCTCAGTGATTAACGGAAATAAGTATTTACGCTCTTACTTAACTCAACAAGATCATTCACCGCGTTCTCATCACTGCCGCAAAAAAACAGGTGCTTGGTACCAACGTATGTGATACTGCTTGTCATATCTTCTATGCCTGAATTACTAACACTTAACACTGATTGTTGAACGTTGAAACATTGGCAGATGCCTAAATTTTACGATAGCTTGTGGCGGAATAACTTACCGTGATGGTCTTCACATCCTCGCGGCCACGCAGGATTATATAGACCTATTGGAACACACTGGCCCGAATTTGAAAGGCATTGCTTTTTTGGGTATGAAATGGCGAAATAGCCATAACTTTATTGCCCCAAGTTCAAAGTAACGTATCTTTGTCTTGAGCATTGCGAAAATTGTTGTTGATACCATGACTAAACGGCAGCCCGAGGAGCTTATGTTTATTATCGTAAACTCTCACTAACATTGGTTTCCAAGCCACCATTTCTTAACAGCCTCGTATCAGGTGGTGCTATTGTATTCGTAGCGAGCTCTACTGACCCTAACGACAGGTCATTTCTTTGTAATCAAGCTCAAGGTGAATGACAACGATGCATGCGCCTTGACCCTCTCACAAGATCTTTAAAGCATTGTCCCATATGTGCCGGTATGTGTTTCTCCTTGAAATTTCATTCTACATCCTCTTAAAGTCACAATAATATCGCGCCACAACTACTGCAGATCCTCAGCAATGAAATTCTTCAAAGTTACTTCATTATCTTTTATAAATCCTCTGCCAGCTATCCGTCGGATCCATGCAAAGGTTGTTTCGATAAATTGTCCGTCTCCCCAGGAATCAGTGGTTAGTCTCACATGTAGCACATTCTATGATTTCACCCTGAATCTATTTCTTTATTTTCCTTAGAAAAAGCCTGAGGCTGAACCCAACGCCGGTATTCCAGCCAGAAAGCAGATTTATCTACCACCCGAGTTGTGGTTGATGATACTGTCTCTTATGAGGAAGAGCCAGCTGGAATCCTGGGCTTCAGTCTCAAGCACATTTCGTCCATATGCCTTGAGGCTCCTTTACCGGGACCGTTGCCTCCGGGTGTGTTTCAGCAACCAGGGCTCGGAATACGGTCTTCGACACCTCGATGATTTTTTGGACGCTTTTAGAGGGCCGAATACTTTTGAACTTGAAGCGTTCCAGCGTCGAACATACATAGAGACCCTGCACATCTTCGACTACGAAGGCTATGCAGATAGGTTACTTTTGAAAATGTTGTCGTTGTTTCCGAAAGTAACCTCAGTATGCATGTTCAATCCCATGTTTCAGATACCCCCGAATCCGTTTCCTCCGGGGAAGTTCAACCTTCACAAGAAAGCTATGGCCTCCGTAAGGAGGCTTGCCAAGAGAGGCATTGCGACATTCTCAAGAACGAGAAATGTTGAGCTTCCGAGATTGAAGCTACAATATCTGGCAATCAAGCAAACACCAGGGTTCTATGACGAACCATGCCGAGTATTGTCACAATTACAACATCTTCTCTGCCACGTCGAGGAAATCGAGTGGTTGCACTTGCATCTTATCAGAAAACAGTTGTCTAGAAGCAAACATCTGGAGAGTCCAATACTACCATTATCGAGAGACGAACTGAAACGTATTACAACGAAGATTAAACGAGTCGATCTGAACTCTCCGATCCATTCGAAACTATCTGCAATCCCAGTCATACAAATTCTTATGCAACACTCCATATCATCCCTTACCTCGCTGTCCATCAAGAATCGTACAGTTGAAGATTGCATCGCAATTGGCGAGCTGGCACCGAATTGTCCCCAGCTGCGACATTTATCCCTGGTAATATCTCACGATTTGATGGTTAAAATGAAGTGTGAGTAATCGGAAAAGCTATCATCCTTTCCAATTTCTTTATTTCTGATTGATGTTCCTCTTATAGCAGTTTTGAAGGGGGAACGAGATGCTATGAAAATATTCAAGCTCTCTTCCTGCGTTCAGATCGACCGATTTACTTTGTGCATGGAATTCGAGCCGATGAAAACGAAGCCACATTGGGAAAGCTCCGTAACTCGGACTAATTACAACAATGTGGAAATCAATCAGCGATTGATTTTGGGTCCAATAAAGGACCTACTCTCTGAGATCCCAAAGGGGGTCGATACACTTAATCTCAAAATATCCATGCTTGACAAGGATTGTCCCGTCGATTTGCAAGATCTTCGGTTTTGGGAAACCATTCGTGAAGCTGTGACTTCTAGACCCCATGATCCACTCAGTTTGAGGAAAATAACGGTTCACTCTATGCTCCACTGGTACGATTGGTTTGAAATAGGTAGGGGTTCAAGGAGAACGTTGAACGATAGAATCTACTGGTATATATCCCTTGCACTCCAAAAAACCTTTGGAGATATCGAACGAGCTGAGGTAATCGCGGAGATATGCCTCTGAGTATACTGTAGTATTATGCATAATGTTAGGTTGATTTTCTATAGACGATGCTACATTAAACATTAGATTCCATTATACGATGTTCAAGTTGTCCGGTTGGTAGCCTCGTGTGATTTTTAGACGCCGATCAACTCAACGCTTGCCAGTGGTCCGAGTCAGCTTGCACGTTCAACGTTCAACCATGTCGATATTGACCTCATCGAAAATTTAAAACACATTCATGTTGAACTGGACTACAATCATCTACTCTCTATTGTGTTGATCGGCAATAAAAGCATGCTAGCAATTGTTAACACTGTCAATGGCGCCACGAAATTGACGGCTTCTCTCCAAGAACTCATACCGCGACGAATATTGGTGAGTTGGCGTTATTTCCTGCATTGATGGCAAACAGATGCTGGCCTCTAATTGAAAATTATTTTGTCCAGATTATGTCCTTATTGGAAAAGTTGTTCGGTGAACATTCTGACTCCAGTGGCTATGCAAAGCGCAACGAACGAAATTGGCCAGTTTGTGGTTTGACTCGGAACCATCGCGTCGGGAGGGTACAGACATACGTACGTACGTGTATTTGTCTCAGAGCTACTTCTCTGAGATTATCGAGTTAGGTTAAAAGTTCCTGGGTGCATTGCTTCGGATCCGCTTTTCAAATCCCAAGTTGGCCTTTGACCCTTCCTCGCATAGGTTCCTCATTCTCCGGAGCTGTAGCGAATGACCCTAGCAACAGATTTTGGTGTCATCCTCGGGCTCGAATACACAGGTCTATGCAATCTGCGAACAACAGTAAACATCTTGCTACCATATAAAAGAACTCCACTTTTCGTTTATTTCATGCTAACAATCCTGTAGACTGTCCGTCAGTGTGGACAACACGATACAATCGCCTCTTTACCCCTCACTCCCAAACCACCTTATTACATCACTACTCGTATCTATGGAACCGAAACATATTCGTCGTTACGTCTCTTCGATATATCGTCTAATCACATCCTTCGCCACTCGAATCACACCTATCCCAGGCGCGGACAGACTTCCTCCAGAATGTTGGGCAGTAGTGGCACAATTTTCGGAGATCACTGATCTCATCGTCTTGAGTAAACTTTCTAGGATGATTCGGGCTGAAGCTATTCGAGTTCTCTTCGAAACAGTGCACTGTCCCAACAAAACCCCATCCGAGTCAAGACGTTCCCAACTCGAAGGATACATGGGTCCTCGAAAGTCACATTATCGGAAACTGCTGGAAATTGCCAAAAGCTCCACCAAATGTGATGATAGCAACCTCCGGATTACACGGTACGTTACAGAAATACAAGACGACGGCGAGACCAGCGGTTGGGACCCAGAATTGATTGAAGAAGCATTAACGGTCTTCCCAAATCTGACCTCCTTGCAATTCATTACTCCAACAGATTGGGATGGACTCTTCATTAAACCACCTAGTGACTGTGTAACTCGTTTGATAACGCCGGCCCCGAAACTCAAGCTAGAAAAGTTGGTCATTGGAGTCCCTAAATATCAATCTCCCAAACTCTCGTCCAAGTTATTTGTTAATTTCATCCCAATCCTCAAATGTTTCGATGAAATTGGATCTCTCATACTGTCCGGAAACGTTTGGTTCAGCCCCAATTACTTGAGGTTTTATGGTGATGATTACTATCCTCCAAGCGACTTGAACAACGTGGATCTGCCAAGAATCGGACGTGTCATATTCAAGTCCTCCAACCCAACCATTACCAATTCCATACCGCTCCTGGAAATTCTTCGGTGTGCTTCGCCATCATCTCTTATCTCCATCGACACACAGACCAAACACCCCGAGGAATTCATGGTACTCGGTACGCTCCTCCCGCATTGTAACAATCTCGAGGAATTGGCAATGGAGATACCTTATCCTCTCCCCTTCGCTGTTGGTAATAGTAAGTTTTTCTAATCAATGATTAGTTTTCTCTTCATGTAATACTACTAACATGGTTCTCTTGATTCAGACCATTATACTTACGATGTTCCATTTGACTTGTCTTCTTGTTGCCGCTTACAACGACTTCATTTGCGCATAAAATTATTATGCATGAATCGTTCCACAGGTTATACTACACCCTTAATACAGGTCGATGAGATTTCCGACAACCGCACATTGATCGATTACATGAAAGGGTTGCTCTTACATGGGCCGAAAACATTGCACACCCTTCATATTCATGTTTTACACCAAGGTTCCTGCAACAACAGAGATACCTTGGAGGACGTCGGCCCACAACTCCAGTTCTGGCGCCACTTAGGCGAGGTACTTTTCAACCTCCGTGGAGCCAATTGCAAGAAGGTGGTCATCCATGGCAAACTACCAGTGGAGGCAGGAGACACACCGGGGTGTCACTTCGATGATGAGCTGGAACCGGACGAGCAAATTGAAATGAATGGTTTAGTGAGAGATTATGTGCGACAGGCCCTCCAAAAGCATCTCGATGATGTTGACATCGATGGAATTTTTGAAGGCAAATGCTCCAACTTGTCTCATCATCCCTATCACAACAAGGTGTGATGTAGTTTATAGGTTATTTTTGAGGATCTCGGTCAAATGTCTGCTCAAGATGTAGAGTACAGATCAAATGTGTATCCAAATTTCAGACTTATTGAGAATGCGAGCTGAATATTCCCTAGAATTTGCGAGTACTCGGAATAGTTTCATCGACACCCAACGGAAGTGATGAAGTAACTTTGCGAGTAGGATAATATGAATGAATGCTCATGGAAAAAAAAAGTATCGCGATGATCGATGACGGAAGTGGGATTTGAACCCACGCCCTTTCGGACTAGATTGCATATATTGCCTGATTCTAGCGCCTTAGACCACTCGGCCATTCCGCCATGTATATCGACTTTTTGGCACAAACCATCAAGTACTGTCCAGTCTGTAAAACACGACATTATTCACCGAGTGTTTAGGAAAGAGACTTTTAAGAATTTGCGACGAAATTAACCCACATATTTCAGTACATAAAATAAGCAAGGCAGACAGGTGGTACCAAAAAGCGTTCTGATCATGTACAGTAAGCTAAACCGTGTCTGAATCATTGGGAGACCCATCATGATCAGTATAAACATGCTTGCTTGTGGTAACGATGATATGAGTTCCACCAGATGGAAGAGGACCCTCCTTTTCTTCATCACTCCCCAAAGGAGCCATTCCTTCTTCAACACGACCTCTACTAAGAGAGAATGTACTGAGATGCAAATCATGTCTATTCGGGACACGAATAGCATGAGTTGCAGCACCATGTACACCACCACCACCTGAAGTAGTATTCCCATTACTACTAGTGTTTGTTGCGGTTCTATAGTCTGTCATGTAGCCCAATTTGAGGTGTCTGTAAACTCGGCATGCCATTGCGTTTTGAAGAGCAACGTTTGGAACTTCGACCGTGAATCGATAGACTGTAGGAACCGCGCCCGTGAACATGATTATGATAGAGAAAATATTGATAATTATGGATGCACTATACAAAAGGAAGGACACGGTCATCGAATGCTGAGATAAGGGATTGAAAGAGGTTGGAACTTACAGATAGAACAATTGAGCGTCCGATGTGAATATCTTCCAACCCTTTGATAAACCGTCCCGGCTCCAGAAACTTGTCGACCATGACCGTGATCCGTCCTTTCCATGTATTCGACTGAGAGTCAATCGAACATGGACAGCTAACCAGATCAGAAGATCATATATGAACACTAACACCGGCCCAATAGAGCCAAATTGTTCCATCCTGTCTTCAAGACATGCTTTAGAAAGGCCGATATGTGTCGCGCCTTTCGTAGCGAACGGTGCGGTGAAACATGATAAGGTCGCTAGCCAAAGAAGAGAAAATACACCGGTGATCATTTTCGAAATCACAGGAGAGAGTGTTGGAGACGGCGAGAATATTGTTTGGAGGCGGACAAAGAAAAGGAGCGAGTTTAGAGGCATGGCGATACCGTAGCACCAGCCTACTGAGAGTGCCAAAGCTTGACAATTGCTTGCTGGCCCAACTGAAAAATTGAAGTGTCGGAGATCAACTTGAGAAATCAAAAGACGAGGTTAACAATACGTACCTGTAAAAACCAATGATTGGATGAGAAAGGCGATGGTGAGGGATCTATGTTCAGGAGAGTGGTCAAATGAAAGTTCCAATGCGCAGGTTTTTCCTCTTACCGCGAAAGAAGGTATAGTATATCGGTCCATCTGAATTTCGTTCGGAAGATCATGTCGAAATCTTCCTTCATCGACATCAAATAATCCCATGCAAACGACTGCATGCCAAAGGGGTCAAATTGTTAAAACATCAAGGTCCGTCAAACAAAGATGGTACTTACTCCGATCGTAGCAGCAAACACATATCTTGTCACCTCTGTCTGCCGAGCAATATTAGGCTGCAAGTATGCTAAAGGAGTGGTAGGGTTCGGTGTAGTTATTGAGGAATCCGCCATTTCTCAACACCTCTTGATGTTCGTCCCTCGTCCGCAACAGAGGATCCAAAGACAGCAGAAGAAAGAGTGGCGATAGGAAGAAAGCAGAAGGTGACCGGTGACCAGTTGAAAGAGAGAGGAAAAGGGGGGTATCAGGTCATAAATACGACCCAACGGAGCTTTGTGCTGCTTGTTATATGAGCGGAAGTTGTTTTTCAATCTCCTTTTCTGGATTTCTTGGTGTCATCAAATGAGAGCCCATTCGTTGCGATGACAGCCTGGAGCAAAATGTGACGAGCTTCTGGTCAGGTTAGAGTGAAACACTGAACTATGGCAGTAAGCGGGTCCGAGATCAGGTTTCCTGACTTTCGATAGTCGAACTGAATGTGATGTACCGTCAATTAGCTTTGAGCATCCCAAGTAGCGAATCATGTATAGTCTACCTATAATTCGCTGCCTTCGATTTAATCAAACCCTCTGAATCCGTGGAACGAATCCACGATATATATTCGAACGACATGGTAAAGTCACCTAGAGATTTTTATACTGAAGCTCTGCAATGAGATAGAAATTTTCGATCGGCTTGAGATGGAGAAAAGGCTCACCTCGATCTGCTACCACTCCCGAATCGGTATTGCCTTCTTTGTCTACACCGTATCGACGAATACGACGTGGTTCTTCGAGCCTGTACAAAACATTTGCATGCTCGATGTCTCGCAACTTGTTCAGTTTTATTGTTGCTACTGCGGTATGCTGTCAACTGAACAGCAACATATATTGCTTCAAGTCCATATACGAATGGCTTCTTGAAAAAAATACATAGACAAAAAACACAGAAATCCAACGGTCAGTGTCATGTCATGCAGCATTACATCCCGATTTCGGATACACCTTTTAGGGACGCCGTTCGTGCTCGGGAGGCCAAATTTGGAGGATTGCGAACTGATGAATTGGATATGATTTCTTGCAACAGAATATAGATGATTAGTAGAAGCATACAAATATCAGAGTGATTGGAGAGCTACATTTCCATCCTGGAGGGTTGGTGGTTAGTTGCAACTTGCAAGTACCCTTACGAACTACGATCATGGACATCCAGCGCTTGTGAGATTAGATTAGATTGTAAATCTTATCACCATAACTTAAGAATGTCTTTGCCGCAAATCTGAACGTCACGGTTGAAAAGATGCTACATATTTGACTCTGGACAGACATGGGTGAGTAAATTTTCTCATTCTTTTCATAAATGCTTCAGGCTCTGACCATACGAAGTTTAAATCAATATAATCGCCTAAAAGTGCCGCGAGTCTATGGCATTTGATCTAACAAGAGGTTTAACACCAGAACGCAGATCTCCACTGCGACTCTTCGTCCATGCGCAGTACTCAGAATTTGCTGCTCGTTTATTCTTGTATGTGACTCTATCAAGAGCCCTGGTGAGTGATGACGGTGGCGGTGAGGCTTTGCTTAACGACGAGTGCTAAAATCTAGACTTACTTAGGGCGCAATAACCGGCGGAGGCGTTGATCTATAATTGGTATATATAGGAAGCTCGGTGAGAAAGAGGAAAATCAGCACGGTCTGATGAAATATTGACCGTGTCGTCTTTCAAAGCTTGGCGATAGAGTCCTGAACCGATTCAAAGAAACTGTGCGTGTAAGTATTTGATTGGTTCTATGGTCTTCTTACACTGATTAAATAACCAAAGGTCGACAACGCTGCGGAATCGACATGCATCATACACAGTCTCGGTAGACAAGCAACGATGTGTATTTTTTTTCGGAGGAACTGGGTTGCTAGAAGTTTAAGTTCGTTCTTGCTAAAAGTTCCCTTTTTCGCCAAGGGCAGTGCTAGTGATCTGATAGCCCACGTGCCGGCAAATATTTTCCACCTCCAACTTGCCTCCAACACATTCTCTCCAACTCAATCCGATTATTCGTTCCAAGTTCTTCAAATTCGAACGCTCCCATCCAGTGCAAATGTTACGCCACATTCTAAGAGGAAATACATTCTTGTTTCCTAGAGTCTCACAGCGAACTACGAGAAGTAATCATTACTGCGCAATTGTGAGCGGTTGTACCCATACCATATCAACCAAACATACAGTCGTTTGGGCACATTATGGCTCAATTTTACGATCTACCAACAAATATTGTCGCTGAGTACCGTACACTCTCATGCGACATTATCTTGGCACATTCTTCAAACATTATTGGCTTGCATCTGGTATGTCTTTTCCCTCGTTATCTTCTCACATGATTCACTCACTGCTACTAAAATTGAAGGTGGAGAAATGAATATGAGCGAGGTCTTAAAAGCCTTCTAATTCCTCAGTCAGCAACGGAGGACCGTTCAGACTTCGTCATTTCACATCTCAGATCTATACGCTTCCTAGGGCGCGATCAAGTTGTGATATAACCTCGCTACGAGTGTCTGAACACTCTAAAGGGAATCGCCCTTTTGGGTAGGCTCACCTCAGGCTCACTTCTTCGCCCACAAACTCCCTCACCATCTTTCTGTCTACCTTCATTTCTCCCCAGCCATGGTGGCTGCAGGGCTGTCACTCCTTCGTATTTATGACATGCCCACTGCCGTATCAACAGATGATCCTCAAGCAAGTCTCGTAATATCATCGCTGTCACTTGGGATACTCTCTCGTAGTTTGGAAAGTCGGGATAGCCTTTCGACCGTCGAATTGGATTCAGTATCTACAGGTTACTCAAAGGACAACGTAATCGTGCATGCCGACTGGAGGATCTACTTCTATTTCATTTTTCAGATCGTCGGTGCAATTGGGTTGACTGTGTTACTTGTCACTATGTTATGGCCATCGAAGCAACGAAAGTACGTCCTCTCATAACTGATAGATGCAGTTTTACGTGTTAAACATTACCTACCGCAGGCCGCGAAACCCCCTGCTTCTTTCTCTGTGCTTCTCATGGTGGATTTCCACATTTCCTTGCTTATGCTTATTGTAAACTGCCCCCTTTCTTCAATTCGGTCCAGTTCGCTCACAAAATATATCTTCATTGCAGGTACTATACTGGACAAGTAACTGGTCCTCCGCCGTCTTTCGGTGTATGTCTGTCTAGTGCAGCTCTAACCATGGCTCAACAAGTTCTGTAAGTGTTCGGATGGATTCTAAACTTTAATCAGCCTCTGATTGAACCCCCTTCGTATGTTTTCCGGATCTTTCCTGCGTTAACCCCGCGCCCGCCGCTTGTATATATGTTTTCCCGTCATGAACAGAGTTGCAACCACAGCGCCGGCTTTAGTATTCCATGTGAGTATGAAAATTCATTCGCGGCAGCTTTGGATGCCTGTCGTCGGTTACCAGAGGCGAAGGGATCATCGTCATCGGTATCTCTTACAGCACATCTTTTCTTCTTCATACTGAATACTGTTTTGTCACACTTATAGGTATG